GCATGTATATCATTACAGTTGTCCCCCTTGTACCATATGTCGTATATCATGATAATTGTATGAAATGTACCGAACCATGACAATTGTATTACATGTACTGTACCATGACAGTTGTATCCCATGTACCTTATCATGACAATTGTATCCTATGTATCATATCATGACAATTGAATTACATGCTGTACCATGACAATTGCATCCCATGTACCATATCATGACAATTGTATCTCCTGTACCTTAACATGACATTTGTATCATATGTACCATATTGTGACAATTGTATCCCATGTATCATACTATGACAATTGTTTCAACTGTACTGTACTATGACAATTGTATCACACGTACTGTACCAAGACAATTGTATTCCAATATGTAACACATCATGACAGTTACATATGTGAATTACACCAGTGTCTCCCAGTAGTTACTGTAACCTGACACCTTCCTCACAGTATCCAGTGGAACATGACAATGTATCACAACATATCCTGTATTTACCACCCTGTTTAACCACTAATCAGTTATCAAGCATCCTGTCAAGCATTAGAGTTATCAAGCAGGGTGCGTAGTACGAGGCAACCAAAACAATAAAACCAATATTCACCAGGCAGGCAGAATGGCTGAGGAAATAATCACAGAATTGTTTTGATCGTGGAACTAATTCACAAATGTTTTCATGATAAAAAATAACAATACGATTGAGTCTGTGCTAAAGCAGGAGAGTTACGATCACCTTAACATGAAGATTGGTTTGAAGGACAGGGCCTGATCTCCAGGCTCTATAACTGTGATGACTTAGTTTGAATAAGCTGTACAAGGCTGCACAAAAAGCTACAGTCTTTAGCATTTGTGTCCTATACCTACCGACAGTTTCTACGCCTGGCAAGTCTCCAAGTGCATAACAACACAACAGTTATCAACCCATGAGCAAGGACAAGAAAAGCAATCTCTAATCACAACCTTAGTTCATGAAATTCAAAGACCAAATTTAGTCCTAATATTCACACATCTGAAACTGATGTACCGATGAATACGAAACTCACATTTTTGACAAAATGATATGACATTATAGATGCTGACACCATATGACACAGCTGACTACAAAGCACATGATGAAGCTTTGAATAGTAGACAACTATTACATTGATAAAGATATTCTATCCATCATAATCATTTTCCCTTCAAGATTGTATGTACAAAACTACTAAACCACTTTGAAATGAAACAAAAATATGAAAATATAATTTTGAATAAAATGGGAGTATTAGACACAGGAAGTTGTTATGTATTCACAATGGTTACCAGAGGTAGAAATGAAGCTAACCCTATTTGGAATATAGACACCATACCAGCTTACTATGCCATACCTGAACAAATTGTCTCCCTTGGGAACAAGTTGCCAACCCAGGGAACAAATTGTCTCCCTTGTGAACAGGTTGTCTCCCCTGTGTACAGTTGCACAGATGGCCCAACATCACACACAGTTCAATACATTTGATCCAGTTATGGCCTCTTGAAGAATCTATGAAGAAAACCTCCTGAGCAAAAACCTTGACAATTTGTCATAGCATTTTTTACCTTACTATCTGAACCAAACTTGCAAATACAGTGCCACACTCACGTACATCAACTTCGAACAAAACCACTACCGTTCAAGACATGTAGGAAACCCTTACAAAATCAAAGTTTCAAATGAGCTTAAGTAGTTTACTCAAATTTCTCAAATTCAACAATCAACACAACATAGTTTTTCTCTAAATCTCAATTAATATGCAACAATAACAAAGAGATTAACTTCAAAATCAACAAACATACACACACTCACTTGACAGAAGACATACATCGCTAAATGACAGTATGGAACAGGGACGAAGCAAAGGGTCCCTCCCATCGCATAATATAGTTATACACCATCCACTGACTTGCATCAGTGATGAACATGGACTCATATTCACCAGGAAGGCAGAATGACTAAGGAATTAATCATAGAATTTTTGATTGTGGAACTCATTCAACAATGTTTTCATGATCCGACAATAAGACAAATTTACTTGATTTTTGACCAGTAACATCAAATGGTTTGTATTCTTGGTTTAGTGACAATTTATTCATGGTTATGCTATGAGAAAAATGTGTTGGGGAAAAAAGATATAATTGATTTTTCCTGTTTTACAAATAAATATCTGAACATTTTGCCAAATTTTCTTTTTTTGTAAATCTTGATGATATTGATGAGCAAGAACTTCTATGAGTGTCAGGCAATGCTTAATGACAGTAACCTAGCTTTCATATATGGATCGAAAAGCTTGATAGATCTTGAACAATTTTCCTGAGGTGCACTTCCAATATTACCAATTTACCAAGGTCAGTACATGTTCTTCCTTTCAATTTTAATTTTTTAGGTTCTGGAAATTTATAAATAAATTTTCTTAAGAAGCACAGGCTAACCAGCATGACCAAAGGTTTTTAAATATTGCAGAAGTTTTCATGTAAGACTTATTAATGAAAACTTCCACTGAATAAACAGATATATTGTTGTCACTGCCATTCAATTTTTCTTCACCGAAGCCAGACAGGTTCCAATTGTCAAACAAATAATTTTTTCACTCAGATATAAGTATCTCAAGAACACAAACAGATTTCACACAAAAAGGTAAACAATTCACTCTCTGCAATAACAAGTAGATAAACAAAAATACAGAATTTAGAAAACACAGTATTCAAACATGTAGTGTTTTATGACCAGCCCTACTCAAGCATATGTATCCAATCTGGTTAATGTCCCAGTCTCTGTGCTCCGATAGTTTGGGTTGGAGTTAGCAGTAGATTCTCCCTCTAATGTAAATAGCACGATATCTGGTTTGTTAATGAAATCAACAGATTTACATTACAAGTATCACAGCACTAGACAGACAGCTGTTCAACAGCCAATCAAATATGCAGTTTTCTATTACACACATCAATCAGCTGACATTGTCACATGACCAGTCACATGACCACAAGGTCACAAAAATAGGCTAAAAATGTACATCAAACATGAGAATGCTTGGAAATGACCACACCATTTTTTTTTCATTTTCTATGAAAATTGCCATGATTATGACAGTGATATGAAACACTTGAAGTACAATGAAACGTTTCAATATTTGACAGTAAAAAAATCAAGATGTAATATATCTATTTCTGAATGATGGCTCCTTGCTATGTTTTAACCACAGTGAGAAAAATTGTTCTTAATGTGGCAATGGTGAATAAACAGACAACACCTGGCCTGATGTGACATCACGGGCCTGGTGTCACATCACGGAGACTCACATGACATCACTGGGCCTGGTCTGACATCACGGGGCCTGGTGTGACGTCATGGGTCTGGTGTAACATCACGGGCCTGGTGTGACATCATGGGTCTGCTGTGACATCATGGGCCTGGTGTGACATCATGGGCCTGATGTGACATTACAGGGCCAGGCGTGACATCACAAGGAGTGGTGAGTCATTATGGGCCTGGTGTTACATCATAGATACTTATGTGACATCACACAACCCAGTGTGACATCACAGAGACCCATATGACATTACACAATCTGGTGTGACATCACAGAGACACATATGACATTACACAATCTGGTGTGACATCACAGAGTCCCATATGACATTACACAATCTGGTGTGACATCACAGAGACACATATGACATTACACAATCTGGTGTGACATCACAGAGTCCCATATGACATTACACAATCTGGTGTGACATCACAGAGTCCCATATGACCTTACACAATCTGGTGTGACATCACAGAGACCCATATGACATCACAGAGCCTTGTGTGACATCACAGAGACACACATGACATCACACAACCTGGTGTGACATCACAGAGCATGGTGTGACATCACAAAGACACACATGACATCACACAACCTGGTGTGACATAACAGAGACACACATGACATCACATGGCCTGGTTTGACACCAAGTACACCTCCTACCAGTGCAATACACAGCAAGGGAAATAGTACACCAAACAAAGTTATCATAGAGGTAATGTATGCCAGTTTGGCACTTCCTGTAACTCCGGAACCAACCATTCTGTTGTGGTCAACAGAGGCTTTCAACTGTGTCCCTGCTCTCAGTCCTATCCCTCCACTGTGTCCATGCCGTCTCCTTTTCTGAATGTCCTGGGACTTACACACAACACAGCCTATATATTTACTGTTATCCAACATGTCCACATGCCTAGGTATTGACTTGGCCATGGGCCTAGATGTGTGTATCTGGATAGCATCCATAGGCCTAGATTTGTGTATCTGGGTAGCATCCATGGGCCTAGAAGTGTGTATCTGGATAACATCCATGGGCCTAGATGTGTGTATCTGGATAGCATCCATGGGCCTAGATGTGTGCATCTGGATAGCATCCATGGGCCTAGATGTGTGTATCTGGATAGCATCCATGGGCCTAGATGTGTGTATCTGGATAGCATCCATGGGCCTAGATGTGTGTGTATCTGGATAGCATCCATGGGCCTAGATGTGTGTATCTGGATAGCATCCATGGGCCTAGATGTGTGTATCTGGATAGCATCCATGGGCCTAGATGTGTGTATCTGGATAGCATCCATGGGCCTAGATGTGTGTATCTGGATAGCATCCATGGGCCTAGATGTGTGTATCTGGATAGCATCCATGGGCTGGATCTGGATAGCATCCATGGGCCTAGATGTGTGTATCTGGATAGCATCCATGGGCCTAGATGTGTGTATCTGGATAGCATCCATGGGCCTAGATGTGTGTATCTGGATAGCATCCATGGGCCTAGATGATGTGTATCTGGATAGCATCCATGGGCCTAGATTTGTGTATCTGTATCTGGATAGCATCCATGGGCCTAGATCTGTGTATCTGGATAGCATCCATGGGCCTAGATGTGTGTATCTGGATAGCATCCATGGGCCTAGATTTGTGTATCTGGATAGCATCCATGGGCCTAGATGTGTGTTAGATCTGTGTATCTGGATAGCATCCATGGGCCTAGATGTGTGTATCTGGATAGCATCCATGGGCCTAGATTTGTGTATCTGGATAGCATCCATGGGCCTAGATGTGTGTATCTGGATAGCATCCATGGGCCTAGATGTGTGTATCTGGATAGCATCCATGGGCCTAGATGTGTGTATCTGGATAGCATCCATGGGCCTAGATGTGTGTATCTGGATAAGATCCTTGGGCTGAGGCTTGTGTAGTTTCAAAACAGTTGATATACTTCGGACTAGGTCTGTATCTCAAAGTGAACATGTTCAGGCCTGACTTAGAAAGATTAAACTTAAAATTCTTAGGTCAAGGTTTTCAACTACACACCAGAGGTCAGATCCTACCCAGTACACTGTTCTTGGGGCTTTGACCATGTCTAAACCCATCCCTAACACAAGATGCCTGTGGCTGGCCCATCCCAGGACAAACACAATCCCATCCCTAGGCCGACACAAGGCTGTGACTGACCCTATCCTTGGGCTAACACAAGCTTTGGTGGAGAAGACGTGAGATCAAGACGATGGCACAAGCACTCTTTGACACAACGTATCACATGTATAGGTTGCTGTTCCTGTAATTCAAACACATATCTAGATGAATAAAGTCTTTGACAGTCTTTCCTGTTGGACTAATGGTGTCACTTCTTGCCCACTTCTTGTGATGCTACGATGTGCTCTGCAGAGACTGGAATGACGGTGATGCCTGATGCCATGGTGATGGCCTCCGTTGCTCCAGCAACTTGGGAGGCTGATACTTCAGATGAGGTGATGGTGGGTATACTAGCAGAAGCTCCAGACTCCACTAGGTTTACTGAAATTGGATAAAAAACCATTTTGGTGACAAAAGGTCAAGTCAAAACTAAGATGAGGTGAAGTGAAATGGTGTTTAACTTCGTGGTGAAGGCTATTGAAGCTTGTGTGAGTGCATGCACATTCTCGAGCGAGTGCGTTTGTGTTTATATGAATATGATCGTGTTGAAGCTTGTATGTCCTCTGTGTGTGTGTGCGTGCTTGTGCATGTGTGTGCGTGCATGCTTGTGTCTGTGCATGCTTGTGCGTGTGTGTGTCTGTGCATGCATGCTTGTGCGTGTGTCTGTGCGTGTGTGTGTGTCTGTGCGTGTGTGTGTATGTCTGTCTGTCTGTGTGTGTGTGTGTGTGTGTGTGTGTGTCTGTACGTGCGTGCTTGTGCCTGCGTGTGAATGTTTGTCCCGACGTCATATAGCTGGAATATCGACAAATGTGGCGCTGTACAACAATACCAAAAGGTTGTAATCGTCTGAACTAATGCTGGTTTTATAATCCTATTGAACTGACATAACATGCTACAGTCTACCATGGATGTCCCACTCGAACACACTCTACCAACTCCAAACAACCAGACAAGAAGCACCAGTTTCTTGGTACCACTTCGGACAAAGAGTTAGAACTGCTTATTTTCTGAGGCACAATGTACATACATAGTAAGTGTTTGTGGAGTTTATGCCTCTTTCATGATGAAATTTAAAAAAACAACTTACGAAACTTCTGTAAAAGGACATAGGAGTGACCTACTTGTAGTTAAGGCGAGGTGACCTTGAGACTTCTGCTGGAGGGTGATGGGGCAGTCTTTGTGGGCCAGGAGCAGGGTCTTGAGCTGGGCCACCTCCCCACGTAGCAGGCTCACCTCACTCTGGCAACACACGGCATACAGGTGTGTACAAATATACAGGTGTGTGGAGATATACAGGTGTAGAGGTTTACAGGTGTGTAGAGATGTATACAGGTAGACAGACAAACAGATGGACAGAGACGTAGAGAAGTAAGCAGAGGTATATAAACTCAATCAGTTCAATAACATTTGACTTAAAACAAGTTTGTTCCTGGTATTATCAGTTATCTGTCATCATGAGTTTATGTCTGTAACAAGGTGGATGCTTGATATAATTTGTGGTTACCTGTAATCGAGAGTTTGTGTTTTGTAGCTCATCAGCTTTCTTCTCTAGGTTGTTGATCCAGTGTTTCCGTTTTTGTCGACATCTGGCTGCTGCAGCCCTGGAAAACACATACATCACCATGACAACAGCTGGCTGTTGCCACCCGTGAAACTACATACATCACCATGACAACAGCTGGCTGCTGCCACCCTTGGAACTACATACATCACCATGACAACAGCTGGCTGCTGCCACCCTAGAAAACACAAACATGACAAAACCCTGCAGCTGTTGCCTTAGGAAACACATACATCACCATGGCAACAGCTGGTTGGTGCCAATCTCGAAACCATTATGACACCACCTCTCCCTTGACATGGGGTCTTCATCATTATTAATTTAGAACTCCACTGAATGTTTGTCCTTCATACAGAGCAGATATTTACCGGTTTCTCTCTAAAAACTTCCTTCTTCTCTCATCCGCATCATCATCCACACTGGTTCTTTTGGACCTTTTTCTGGAACAGAAGCATGCGAGTGATTTACTTAATATAACATGACAGATTAACTGTAAATAAATGAAAACTTTGATGTTGTTTAAGTTCATTTGAGTACCGTATATCGCCATGTAGAAGGTAACATTTTTGTACCTGGAATTAGAAGGGTTTGAATGGGGTAGATCTCACATTTTTTTATTTGTTTTGGACTGGCAATGTCAACTGGTGTCCGATAGCCATTCTACCATGACATTTAAGTATGTTCGTTTTTGATTGGCTGTTACTAAAAGATTAGAAGTGAAAAAATTTCAATAACCACTTCTGAGAGCCGGTTCACTGCGCGTAGTGTCAAAACACTACGCAAGGGTAACGAGTGCATATTTAAAACGCGTTTTATTCATGGTGCATATGTCATCGAGAATGGAGACCTAATTGATATTGTTTGACAGTAAAACTTTGCATTTCGTTTGAAATAAATATTCCAAGAACTATTTGGAATATGAGCTTACCTTGTATCCAAATTCCTTGTTCATACTATACATATTCTGCAAATATAGTTTAAATAAGCCTCGCCTCTATTACGATTGCCTAGCCAGGCAGTCTCAACCATAGGAGACACAGAAGTAAGCATGAGCGGGATCATCTCAAATTTTCGAATACAATTGACTTAACATTTTAATTTTACTAGCGATTAAATTATAGGAAATAGACTCTCTTCGTCGAAACAAATGGATTTTTTCGCCATTACAAATTTGGTGTCGCACTGTGTCATCATCATTTGCTGGAGCATCACATTAAAAAACAACGGAAAACAAACATGTTTATATTACAAATAAGGGGATTGTGTATGCTAAGGTGATGTGCTTCAGACAGGATCACTTTAAAGATGGGGTATATAAATTAGCATTGATATCAAAGGTTTTAATGCGGGGGCCGTCTTATACATAAGGTTGCTAATACATGGTGATATACAGTAGGATAATACATACTGTAAACGTAGTATATTTCGCGCAGGTTTTATTTTCGCGCTTTTCGAGCAAACATTTTAGCGCGAAAATTTATACACCGCGAATAAACCTGTCATTCATTCAGTCTAGCCACGCTCGCCCTGAGCTGTTACCATAACACATCACGTTTGAGACAGAAATCTACGGGAATCTTAAAATGACGACTGATAGTAGCATAAAGAATCAAACTTAACTGTCGCTGTAATGGATTTCCAAAAACATAATTACATAATGAGCCAAATCCCATCGCCGAATTAGCGAAAACAGCAATGTGTGTTGTGGCCGCCATGGAAATTGGTCACATGACAGATGGTTTGATGCAAAACAGATTACCATGAAACGACTCGGAAAGAAATAATACAGCAGTATTTTATTTATTCATTTAGATACAAACGTATCATCATGAAGCTAATAGTCACTAACACTCAATCATCTCATTCACAACAACCCGGCTTGTTTGAAATCACAAAGAGCTTCATATACAGGATAAGTTAATTAGTCAGATTGTCCGAATTCGGAAAATACTGATGTGTTTTTTCATCTCTTCCGGGAGTAAACGGGTTACTGTGTACTAGTATATCGCACAGATAGGGATTTCCTGTGAGTAAGTAATAAACGCCGCCTGACAGGTTAAGCCACTCTGTTTGTTTTCACTGCTATTAGTGGCAGCCAACAGCTGGCAGTTCCGGCAATTACTGATTGCGCGAATAATTGACCGCGCGATGTAGTCTAAACTGTCAATTCCGCGAAAATTGCACCACGCGAAAATAAGTACGTTTACAGTAGTTATTGTATGCTGTACACCTACATGTTGAAGCCTGACTCGGAGAATTCTCCATCTGGTGAGCCGACCGGGGAGTCTGACTGGGAGCCCGACACAGTGTCCGGTATATAGAGGGATGTGGAAGGTTGGGAAGGGCTGACAGACGTGTGGAGCGTTGGCATGGGGGCTGGCTCCGTCTTAATCACAGCCAGTGATGGGGTGTTTTGCTGAATTGTCTGTTTCAAACGCTGGAATAGAAAAATGATTTGGTAAAGTGAAATGTGTTCATAAACTAAACAGACAGATGAGTCATCTCTTATGACAGACACATGTTACTGAACACCAATTGTTACCCCGATCTTCAGGCCAACAAAAATAAATGTCCATTTCCTATGACACGCTTTTTAAGAATAGGGTAGGTGGGACGATTTTATCTTCTGTTTGTTAATTTATATTTTTATTTTTTAGCAGCACAAGGTGTGTACCTGAGAATGTCTTCAAGGATGCCGTATCATGTTGTGACAATGCCTTGTGATGAAACATGAATTTTTTTATATCAAATCATTATTCATGCTATTTATTTTCAGGTTTTGTCAGTGACAGCCCATTATGCAAATTCAATGCAATCCATTTTAGCCCTACGTACACCGAAAAACATGAAAATATCATACTCGATTTCGATGAATATGTTGAGTTGAAATGCACTCCAATCATGATTTTGACTTGGTTAAAGAAAGATCTAGGGTTGTGGGGGTTAGGATAGGGTCGGTCGGGTGACCAGAAACGGACATATCTTCTTCTTTGGCCTCAGGAGTTAAAGGTACCTGTGTATGTTCTGAAACATCGAACTGAAAGGAAAACAAATCTGTAAACTACTGTCTCCTTTATATTACAACATGTAAAACCATCCTGCCCTGACCTGTTTCAGCACCATGGATGACGTAGGAGTGGTGACTGGCGCTGTAGTGACGGGTGTAGTTGGTAACGTCCCTGCACTCGGCACCTTCTGTTGTATGACGATGCCCTGTGGTGACGCCTTGGTTGCTGCTGCTGTTGTTGTTGCTGTTGCTGTTGCTGCTGTCCCACCGGGCCAATGGTGGCAGGGATGTTGACGGGCACAGTCTGCCCTGAGGGAAGCTGGAGGTAGACCTGCATGGTGTACACCTGCTGGGCAGTGCTGGCTGAGGTGGTCGGCAACCCGGCCCCGGACTGCACCACCGCAACATTCGACCTACAACATGGACATATAACGTCAGCATTCGTGTTCACCTGCTGGGCAGTGCTGGCTGAGGTGGTCGGCAACCCAACCCCGGACTGCACCAACCAACATTCGACCTACAACATGGACATATAACGTCAGCATTCGTGTTCACCTGCTGACTACACCACTGCAACGTACAAAATGGACGCCAGCATTTGTGTCCACAAGCGACCGTCTTAAGGTACGACCAACAACAGGTACATAGATCACAACAGTTAAACTTATCTGGACTTTGACCACTCAATATGTTTGATATTTAACTAGATCTTATATCACTGCACCTACCCAAAATACACAGAGTGCATTGTCTCCAAGCATCAACCAAAGAAACAATCATTTGTTCCAGTGTTGTACTGTTTAACAGTCCAGTGATTGCCAGGTATGAAAACATGCTTTCAACCTAACTACCAAGACGAGTGATGGGTGAGTATGGTTTTATGCCGCTGTAAGCAATATTCCAGCAATATAACGGGGACACCAGAAATGGGCTTGACACACTATCCATGTGGGGAATCGAACCCAGTTCTTCAGCGTGATGAGCGGATGCTTTAACCATTAGGCTACACAACTGCCCCCAATTACCAAGACTGACTGGCTGATCAATTTGGTTGCCTCTTATAACTAACAAAGGTTGTGGATATCCATTCTGCCCGGACATCACTAAGGGGAGCCAGGGTAGTAGAACGGGGAGACGCAAGTCGCTACAATTCTGGTACTTTGTGGATCAGAGCCCAGAAAAGGCATTGCTGCCTCAACTTACATGTGGGTTGGAACTGGTGACAATGTATCTGAACTGTGAATAGTACATCGCTACAACGTTGCAGCTTTAAGCAACAGGGCCCTGAAAGGGCATCAAACCTTTGACATCACATTTTGACTAGATGGTGATAATGTCTTAACTGGATGCAGTGCAAAGCTACAACGTCCCAATATTGTGGAACATGGCCTTGAAAAGGTATTACTGCTTCGACTTACATGTTGTCTGGAGCTAGTGATAATATCTTAATTGAGAACAGCACATCGTTACGAATGAGGAACTGGGTCCATTACTGCTTCAACTTACATGTTGACGGGAGCTGGTGATACTGTCTCTGAACTGGAGCTTGACACCACAGGTTTGGCTGGGGACATGGTGCTGTCTGCCGCTTGGGATGTGGAGCGGACATTGACATCTTCATCTGAGGTTGTGGACGATGGTTGAGGGATGGCTTGTTTGGAATCTTGTCGCCTTCCAGACAGGTCCAGAGCTTCGGTTTCTTCAATGACAATGACCCCACTTTCCTTCTCCACTTCCTCTTTGATCGACAACGAGGAGGACAACTTGGGTACCTCGATCACCGAGTCGAGGCGTGATGGGTCAGGCGGAACAGGAGTGTTGAGATCATTGGAGTGGGGACCTGGTAGCGGCACTCCCTGAAAACAGCAGGAAAGGTTCGTTTATTGAATCAAAACTGACTCGTAACAAGCAACACTTGTTCTGAAGTGAACTATACATATTTTGAAGGAAGCTGACCATTAACTTCTGTTTCCCATTCTAAGTACAGTAAAGTATGTTTAAAACAAACACGCTCATAATGAACTGATGGATTTGACAAACTGTATTTCGTCCCAAACAGAAATCCCTACCTCAGGCAGATCAGCAGCCTTCTTGAATGCCTCTTCAAATGGGTTTTTACTCAGTTCCTGGAACAGGCCTATCTCTTCACAGTTTCTCAGGAACTTGGTTGGTGTTGGCGTCTGGTCTGAAAATCCCAAACATATCACAAACTGAGATTACTGAGATCATGGTAATATTTATCATTGTTTAATCTCTACTGACGGAGCATATTCATAATCTTCAGACAAACATTTCAGTCAAATGTCTCTTATTTCAAAGAATCAACGATTTCTTCATTACCAAGATAGAGACATAAACAGTATTTTGTGTCAGCGGTCGCTGATGAGATATAAGCTACAGGGATGGCAACAGGAATATCTATTTTTAGCTGAAAACCTAATATTATGTCATCGAATGGGGTGTTCACGGGGGCATTGCGGATTTACACAATTCACAGAATTGATCAATTTGAAACAAAATCTAAAGAAATCTGCGGATCAGTGAAAATTGCAATAACCAAAACTACTGCATCCTTCCATCACTTCTCACCTAAGAATGGGTTGCTGGGGGAGGCGATTAGACCCCCTCCCCCAAGGTTCAAGGCCAGTGACATTTCATGTTTCCGTATGTGTACATTCAGATGGTCCTCAGTTGAAAACCGCTGAAACAGCAAAATATCAATCAGCAGTGTTACATCAACAATAATACATCAAAATGGTTGCTGCTTGTAAAGTGTGATACTCATAACATGGTGAGTAATTAGGGTGTGTGAGTGAGTGAGTTCTGTTTGTTTTTTTGTTTGTTGGTTAACACCACACTAAGCAATTTGCTGATTACACAATCACAAGTTTATCCCATGCCCAGGGGAGACAACTCTGCTTAGCAATTGCATGCCTGGCCTCTTCTAACTCCCACAGTGATAAGTTTTTCCCATGTCCAGGACAGACAACTCTGCTCAGCAATTGGATGCCTGGCCTCTCCCAATCCCCATTATCACAGGTTTATCCCATGCAATAGGGAGACAACTCTGCTCAGCAATTGGATACCTGGCCTTTCCTAACCCCCACAGTCACAAGTGTGTATCCCATGCCCAGGGGAGACAACTCTGCTCAGCAATTGGGTGTCAGGCCTCTGTTAACCTCCACAATCAAATGTTTATCCCATGCCCAGGGGAGACAACTCTGCTCAGCAAATGGATGTCAGGCCTCTCCTAACCCTCAAACAAGAATACTTCTCAATGAGACAGGGATGGCAACAGGAAAATTTAGACGATTCACAATTGAACAATTTGAAATAAAATCCATGGAAAATTGCCATCCCTGAATGAGGGAAAAAAAAGTTTCATTAAAATTTGATTCTTTATCACATGTTGCAATTTACATGCATGAACATAGTTTTGTCATTTGCACATTTAACACAGTCACAAGGTATTTGTTTTCATATATCATTTCACTTCACTAATTCTGGTCACTGTCTATCATGCACATGGAATTGTTAGCATGGTCACTCACCATCCCACATCCCAGAGCCGAGCAAGCAAAGGGTTTATCATCATCACTCATTCCCGCTGGTTTCCACTGTGGACAACCAACTCTCCTGCCTCTGAAACAAAATACAGATGGTTACCATGGTTACATATCTAGATAACACTACCCACTGTTGTCCTCATGAACCAATCACTAACTTGTTGAAACTAACTCATCATGTTTGTTTGATTTTTATTGCCACACTCATGAGACTAATCTGGGCAACAGGGATACGATGACATGTGTCGACAAGTCTTCAAGCCTCACCATCCGCTCAGGCTCCAGCGGCGTCTTACGACAAGAATGGGTTGCTGAAGACCAATCCTAATATGAGCCTTTTCATACACATAGCACCTGTGGAAATGACCGTGACCTGAGCATGCTTGTACAAAAATATTTACTTGGCATGCACAATGCAACTGGTGACACTTAGAACATAAATATCACTGCTTCAATATTTCATAACTATAATTATCTGAAATTGAGCAAGTCAAAAGGTTCTTGTCATAACCACCCAAAAAATGTTAACGATTTAGGGGATCCTAAGATTCCAGTACCACGGAACTCATATTAACTTCAAACTTACGTGACGGCTAACAATTGTCCCCACCAACATGAACACTTTCTGTACAGCAATACTGAGTGAGTGAGTTAATATTTAACGTCACATCGGCAATATTTCAGCCATATCGTGACGAGACATACAGCAATACTAAAAGCAGGGATAGAAATGCATGTTTTTCGAAGGTGCCATAGGGCACTAGGCAGATCATGCCTTTGTGTAATAAGTGTGCTTATAGTATACCTTTTGATGATACAGTTAAACTTTAACTGACTGACTGAGTTTGGTTTTACGCCACTTTTAGCAATATTCCAGCAACATCATGGCGGGGGACACCAGAAATGGGCTTCACACATTGTACCCATGTGGGGATTCGAACCCGGGTCTTCGGCGTGACAAGCCAACGCTTTAACCATTAGGCTACCCCACGGACCCGTCATAACAATTTTAAGTACCAAGAACAACCAAGTGTTCATCACTTTCCACATGTATTTCCAGTTTACAAGTACCTGAATCACTTAACCCAGTAACAAAGTGATTTGGTCCCTGCCGACAATGTTTACAAACTGTGAAGTATTATACTGTTTAGCTCCAGTCACGTTTGAGCTGCCACTTTGAAAATACCATGTGCACATGTGTCTATATTCGGGTTGGGATCACTTACGCTAAGCCTATCGGACTTTAGTTTCAATTTCGTTTGATTATGTTGTGTGTTGTGAGTAACATCAGGTGATTTATTTTTATTTTTCACCGCAACTGGCTGACAAAAGAGCTCAATATGGTTGTCTTCTGTGTCACTGACATGGTTTAACTGATATTATCTTTTGAAAAATTTTTGCTTAGCAATACTTAAAGGTTTATGTTCAAATTAATCTTTTTGTTTTAAATCCTCCTTTCTTTGGCATGATCATCCATGAAATGGAGTTTTTTTCTAAAGGCGTCATAGGGCACCAGACGGATAATTTAGGTGTGCCTCGGTCAAAATAACTGTGCTCTTACCTATTATTGATCCAAATAAACATCACAACAATCTCGTCATTTCAATTTATTGCTCAATAAATCAGTTAACATCATATGAGCTGGATTTCATAAACACAATCATGACTGCAATTATAATTCAGCTTCATTTGTCCTGGACCCATAAACTAACTCTCAAACCATATTATCATTCAAAACATGATTTCCTCTTCCTGTGCGCACTGGCATTCAAAATAGCCACGCCCATGTTACGCTGTGAGATTGAGGGTGCCACCGATAAACAGTTTGATGGGGTGCAAAAATAGCTCTTGAATGATTTTAGTTGGTCAAATTTATCGCATTTTTCATTAAAAGAATCATGTTGTGCTGCCAAGGCACACTCAACACATTTCATCCATGCATATATTTCAACATCTACCAAGCCATGGTGCCCAAGTTCGGCACTACTTCGATCCTCACACAATCATTGTTTTGTCACTAAGAGGAAGAGCTAGAATTTCCCCAGCTTGCTCTAAATGTAAACAAAAACTTCTCATGCATTCTTATCAAAGGACAGGATAAAATACACATTTTCCTCCTCTGACATATTAACAAAACGCTAAAGAACCAATCAAAATCACTTAAATTCACACTTTCAATTCATTACAGAGTAAACAATAAACAATAAACTACTTCACCTCCTGGGTTTTTAGCAGAAGTTGATAAGATTAATCTTAGCTAAGATCATTTCGAAAATCTAAGCACATAGGAATCACAAAGGCTTAAATCAATTTGAACGTCACTATTAGCTATTGAATGTAGTGGTGGTGAAGGTTAATTGGGGAAGGGTGGTTGGGGGGTCTCTCTGTGTGCATGCATGTGCATGTCTCCAGGCATGGTGAGGTGTGTGGTGTGTGGTGTGTGGTGTGTGGGGCATGACCGTGCACCCTTCTGTTACAATGTCAAGCAGTCAGATTGCCAGCATGTGTCACCTTAAATCACTAACACCAGTTATTAACAATTCCACAAAGCTTTCCCCCATCTCTATTGCAAACATTCCATCAACCACTTAGACCATACCTACATAAACATGACAAAATGTCTAGGTCATAATTAGCATTTCTCTAGTAGAGCTTGTTACCATGGTTACAGTAAATAATTTATAAATGCTAAATCTACAGGCCATTCTGCTGCTTGAAACAAGAGGCAGTGACCTTGACGGTGAGTTGTCCATGCATGTCCGTGCAGGTCCACTCTACAATTGGAAAAAGCAAAAAGCTCCTTCATCTGTTTAACATCTAATTATCAATTTAAGCACTATTATCATATTAACTGTGGACATCAATTACAAATGGATGAAAACATGGAAGCGTCAGATTAAAAGTGGTTTAATTGACAGAGGTCACAACTGGGTCAATATTCAGGAAATGGTTCATTTCACATACATATAAAACTTGTTCTATTGTACAGCAGTATATTAATACATGCACAAACAGCTGAATAATGGCCAAATAAATACATTTTTAATATAGACGCTGTTACACTTACAGGCATGACCACAATCACACTGGAATCTGGGAATACATTTTTTAATAATGATATTGTTCGACTTATAACCATGCTCAATACAACTTAAAATGGATGATATTAGTTACTAAAATATATCAGGTGGGTTCAACCAAAATGCTGAAGGCATACCAGGGTCAAAGGTCATGAGGTACATTTAGTAATCAATCAAAATATTTCTACATGGACCAAGATATGACTGCGATGAAATTATTGATATAAAGTTCTTCGTCTCGAGTGATGAGATGTCACTTTAAGATTATTGAACATACACAGCAACATTCCTGATGTGTGTGGGTGTTGCTTCCTGGACTAGTCGAGAGTAATGCCAGTCTCACGGACCTGGGACATACAAAGATCTGGGCTAGAATTGGTCTTCAGCAACTCAAGCTTGTCGTAAGATGTGACTAACGGGATCGGGTGATCAGGCTCATTGACTTGGTTGACACATGTCATCGTATCGAGTTGCATAGATCAATGCTCATGATGTTGATCACTGGACTGTCTGGTCCAAACTCGATTATTTACAGACTGCTAGTTGGAATATTGTTGTGTGCAACGCTAAACAACAAACAAACTCATAGAGCTGGACCGCTATGCATACTGAGATACCCTCTCACTAAGTCTCAGACATGATTACGTGACATCTATACTGACCAAGACTTGCTTTAGCACCTTATTTTAAATCATGTCTTTTGGTGTGATGCAACTAGGGACAGATCAACCAAACTACCACACTTCTGGCAAAACCTCTATCCACTAGCCTACAGAGTATTGCCTGAAGTACACACTGTTTATTTGAGGCGCATTAACACAACTCTGTCAAGCTCAATGAAATAGGAAAATATTCACACTTGCGTATGGAACAACTTATAATCAACAGACAATAAGGAGATTGCATGAGTCCTAAGGAAAATATTACATGAACGTAGATGCGTGTCCATGCTGTAATGTCCGACTCAATCGGTTGTAACTCTGTACATAGGTATACAATTTCAGTTCTGCATCACTTGACTCTCCAACAGGCTTATCCAATGTCAGGACCTTTCACGAACAGCCATGCCATTGAACCAGAACACATTATTGCGAGAGAGTGAGTTTGGTTTAATGCCACTTTGAGCAGTATAAAAGTTATATCGCATCACAGTTTAATGTGGAAAAAGCCTGAAGGGACGGAAGTCTCACTTCACTAGTTTGGTGCTGATGAACCAAGATGCATTATCAGGGTGAACTATAGTCTGTTTGCAGTGAAAACGTTCCGCTGAATTTCACTTTAAACAAGAAAGTAAATCAAATAAAGTGAAATTAAGATTGCGAATCCTCATAATTTTACTTTGCCAACTGAACATTTAAATATCAAAATTTTATTAAACTTAGGATAAAAGTTGTTTAACAAACGATCAGTTTCAAATCGTTATTATTGGTTTGTATTACAAGGGGGTATGCACATTAAATGAAACACCGAGAACAAGTAGGCTTGGTCTAAGTTAACGCTCATCACAAACCGCACATTCATTTGTTTCAGTATTCCAACTACTGCGCTTACCCCCTTGTAATACAAACCAATATAATAAATGAATAATAGCGATTTGAATCTATGATTGTTTGTTAAACAACTTTAATCCTAAGATGAATACAATTCTGAGATTCAAATGTTCAATTGGCAAGGTAAAATTATGAGGATTCGCAATCTTAATTTCACTTTATTTGATTTACTTTTTTGTTTAAAGTGAAATTCATCGGTACGTTTTCACTGCAAACGACTATAAATAAATAGTATTAAATAGTCATCCTGAGCGAGCTAGGTTTTAATAATGTCACTTCGAACAGTATCCTAGTTATATCACAGCAGGTCAGCTTAATGTTTAAAGCGCCTAAGGGACAGACTTCTTGCAGAGCTACAGATAACTTTTGGGGTCATTGAGTTATGTACCGGTACCCACTTATGGTCATCTTAAGTGGGTATCCGAATTCTCCTTTGAGTAACCAAA